TTAAAAATGTTTAATTAAAAACTCTATCGAGATTTCCATACGATTGATAGTTCAATACAGGTGTCGAAATAATTAGTATCTTGCAAAAACTATAAATCCTGTCGACGCCACCCCCCTTATATCGATGAGTACAGTTTCGGTTAAAGGTTGAAATTACTACATCAAGACCAAGAAGAAAGGTTAGAAAAGAAAGTAGGAGTAGGACGGAAATCTTTAATCAAACGAAAGTAGTCCTCTCTAATCACAGAGATATACGGTAAGTACAAAATATGTATTTGTATTCTTTAATATATTTAAATTTTGCATAAATGGCTTTTTGCTCTCAGTAGGCAAAAGCTGCTCTAAATCATTTAGACATTCAATCAAATTTTTTTATGATTTCTATTTCTTTCAGGCTGGATTGTTTCCGTAAAACATTCCGCTCTGAAGGCTACCTTGGCATGTACCGTGGGTCCGGGGTCAACATCCTTCTCATTACACCTGAGAAGGCCATCAAACTCACTGCAAATGACTTCTTCAGACATCACCTCACCACTAAAGATGGGTGAGAAGTTAGGTATAATTAACCTCATTTTAGTGACCAAAAAAGATGCAACTCTCCTCTCAAGTTGTTGAGGTAGAGAACTAGAAGAAATTACTATGTTAAAAAAAATTTGTTTGTGAAGTTATCTTGCAACAAACGATTGGGAATAAGCTAAATGTCAAGGAAATTTAAATTGCAAGCCAGAAATGACTAATTAATAGACTAATTAATATAACTTGAATGGATGTTGTGAATAATTAGGGTATGTTTGTTTCATGAAAATTTAATCTATAGATTGTATAACTCTAAAATAAATTGCAGGTAAAGCATTCTTTTTTCTAATTAGAAGTTTTTACATAAAATATATTTTGCATGTGTTATGAGGAAGATGTAATTTTGTTGTATGTCTGCATTTTCTTTTTTTAAAATTAAATTACTGTAATAATGCTGTAAGTTCTAAAATATGTAAGTTGTATCCAAAGAGTTTTTAAAATCTTGCTTACCAAGTTGAAGCACCTAATTAATATCTATTAAATTGTCCGTCTATTCAATTATATTGATAAACGAGCTAAATTGAGAAAAGAGTATTTGAAAAGACTGATTAAGTTATAATTAATATAGGTATTTAGAATTAAAATATAATATAATTATTGTGTTGACTTATTTTTCCAGTATAATGTAGCTTTATTTACATGATCATGATATTTCTTTTGACAGGTCGTTGGGTTTGACTCATGAGATGGCATCAGTATTTGAAAAGACTGATTATGATATATAGGTACCTAATTAATACCTATAGTTAGAATTGAAGTATAGTATAATTATTGTGTTGAATTATTTTTCCAGTGTAATGGAGCTTTACATGATATTTCTTTTGACAGGAAGTTGGGCTTGACTCGTGAGATGGCGTACTTATTTTTCCAGTATAATGTAGCTTTATTTACATGATATTTCTTTTGACAGGAAGTTGGGCTTGACTCGTGGGATGGCGTACTTATTTTTCCAGTGTAATGTACCTTTATTTACATGATATTTCTTTTGACAGGAAGTTGGGCTTGACTCGTGAGATGGCGTCAGGAGGACTAGCAGGTCTGTGCCAGATCGTGATCACCACGCCCATGGAGCTCCTCAAGATACAGCTACAGGACGCGGGTCGTGTCGCTGCTCAGGCCAAAGCCTCTGGTGGGTTATGTTGATTTATTTTTCTTATTATTAAAATTATGTTGTCTTATTATTAAGATTTATTTATTTATTAATAATTTTATTTATTTATTAATAATTTTCTTTTCTTATTAATAAAATTATGTTTTATTTTTTGATTTATATTATTTTTCATTGACTTCTTAGAAAGATTTTCAAAAAATTCTATTCTGTCTTTTAGATTGAAATTCAAAGTTTATGTTACATGCCACCTAGCCTAATAGGGGCAAATGGCAGCTAGACAAATGTTGCAATAATTCACCGGATTAGGCGTCCATTATGGCTCTTTTTCCGTTTATTTGTTATTTGCAGGGTGTGCTAATGGGTATTTAACAAGCACGTTAAATACCCATTGAATACCCAGATAAATGCCTGCTGTAGAAGTTGTACCGGCCTTTCAAACTACAAGTCTTTTTGTTGGTGGTTGTGGCCTTCACACGTGACGTGGGTTCTCCTCGAGAACTGCAGCTACTAACTAAACACAATGAAAAGTCTATTTAACAATTCACTTGTGAGCACCCATTACCTGTGTGTCAATGTAGTCCATCTCCCAACATATTTGGCTTTAAATTTCCTTATTAAAGACGGAATATTAGACGTATCAGTCTTACATAAAATTTTATATAATCCACTATGCTGAACCAAAAGGCTGGGGCGCGGTGTTCATTTACGACACCAGGGTTGCCAGATGGTCTAAAAACGGCTAAGTCCGCGGACAGAAAAGACTTATAATTCAATATTAATATATTTGTTGGTTCTGGTGCAAAAATTCAACGTTATTTTCTTCTATAAGGCAAAAATTCAAAAAGGTAGTACCGATATCATAACACTATGCCGGGCAATGCAATTGAAAAAAAAACTAGATCGCAGAATTTGTCCGAAAAAGATATCCTGCAACCCACCGGTCGGTTATAGTGCACTCAACGTGTTAAAAAATGATACTATATTCGACCCATTAGGCCTGAATAAACTTGACCTATAAATAAAGTTTACCAATAAATCAAGTTTACCAATAAATAAAGTTTACCAATAAATCAAGTTTACCAATAAATAAAGTTTACCAATAAATGAACTTTACCAATAAATAAATTTTACCAACAAATAAAGTTTACCAATAAATAAAGTTTGCCCATAAATAAAGTTCACCAATAAATAAAGTTGGCCCATAAATACAGTTTAACCATAAATAAAGTTTACCCATAAATAAAGTTTACCAATAAATAAAGTTTACCAATAGATGAAGCTTACCAATAAATAAAGTTTATCAATAAATAAGTTTACCAACAAATAAAGTTTATCAATAAATAAACTTTACTAAAAAATAAAGTTTACCAATGAAGTTTGCCCATAACAGTTTACCCATAAATAAAGTTAATTCATAAATAAAGTTTACCCATAAATAAAGTTTACCTATGAATAAGGGGTAAACTTTATAGGTAAATCCACAATGCTGAACCAGCAGGCGGGGCCACGGTGGCAGTACCGAAGGTGTCAGCCACGGCCATCACGCTGGGGCTGCTGAAGGAGAAAGGCATCATGGGGCTGTACAGGGGCACGGCGGCCACCATGCTTCGTGACGTGAGCTTCTCTGTCTGCTACTTCCCTCTCTTTGCTCACCTCAACTCACTCGGACCGAGGAAAGCGGACGGATCTGGTGCGTGTCTATGATTTATTGAGTCAGTTAATGAGTTATAAGTCAATGAATTCAGCTCTACAACCATCGCTCCTAAATTTTTGAAACGAAGGTGATGATTTATTGAGTCCGTTACTCATTTACGAATCGATGAATTCAGCTCTACAACCATCGCTCCTAAATTTTTGAAACGAAAGTGATAATTTATTGAGTCAGTTAATCAATTACGAGTCGATGACCAGCTAATCAATAACGAGCCAATGACCATCGCTCCTAAATTTTAGATAGTAAAGTGACAATTTATTGAGTCAGTTACTCATTTACGAGGCAAAGAATTCAGCTTTACACCCACCGCTCATAAATTTTAGCAAGGAAAGTTATTGGATCTGTTTGGTGTCTACAATTTATTGAGTCAATTTGAGTGTTACTCACTTACGAGTCAATGAATTTAGTTTTACACCAGTTTCTTTTATGAGTTAGTCTAATTATCTCTATTGTTAATTTTCAATCTAATCGCGTTTTATTATCAGAGAACAGCTGATTTACGAAGAGACTATATGCTTGTTTATCATGTTTATGAATGATTTAATAATTACCTATATTATGTAGCGCGCGCTTCACGAGTTTTTAGTGAAACTCATGTTAGCAAAGGTCAGTTGGACAGTTGGCCTATGTTGAATTGGTATACCTATATGCCGTAGAATATTATTGACTATGATGTATAACTTCGATAAAAACCCGTTCTGTTTTCAATCACTCATTTCACTTGGCGTAGTGAAATGATCTTATTTATTACACCGCTAATTGTCTTGGGTCTGTCGAGTACTTGAGGAAAATACTTGATCAAAAATTGAAATTTGTTCTCGTATTTGGTAAATTACAAGAATTTTGTAGCCCGGGGTAACATCAGGTTAACTTACTAATAGGTATTTTATACTTCTCGAAGAGGCGGTTTTCTGGTGCAGTTTTCCAACTGGCTGTTATCTTTTGTTCTTTTATCCATAGTGGGAGAATGCAAAAGGATTGGAGGGAAGGTCTAGGTTAAAAATCGAAATTCAATTCTGCAATTGTCGTACTATTGCAGGAAATACGAGTCCGAGGTTAATCTGCAACTATTAAATATTTTTCAGGGGAGGCGGTCTTCTGGTCCATTTTTCCAACTGGCAGTTGTCATTCATTCATTCACTGTGGGAGAATACAAATGCACTGGTGGGAAAGTCTGGGTTAAAAATCGCAAATTTAATTCTGCAATTGTCGTATTGCAGGAAATACGGAGCACGAGGCTAAGCTGCTACTATTTAATGTTTTTTTCAGGGGAGGCGGTTTTCTGGTGCAGTTTCCTAGCAGGCTGCGCTTCAGGATCTCTGTCTGCCCTCTTCGTGATATTAATATATCACGTATAATAATACAGTAAAATATATATAATATATGTATAATAACATAGTAAAAATAGTATAATATTTTTCAGGGGAGGCAGTTTTCTGGTGCAGTTTCCTAGCGGGCTGCGCGTCAGGGTCTCTGTCTGCCCTGTTCGTGAACCCCTTCGACGTGGTCAAGACACGGCTGCAGGTCCTCACTAAGGGCGCCCAGGATAAGACCTACAACGGAATTCTTGATGCCTTTGGGTCTGTCTCTCCTCTGTGACTTATTGAATCGTTTTTTTAATAATGATAATTTTTAAATCTTTTGTTCCCATTTTTGCGAGAGGTTTTTTGATCCATGACTTATCGAGTCTCTTCTACATCATAACGAAATTTTTCTATCTTCTGTTCACTTTTTGTAAGTCCTTTGAGATTTTTCCTTCCTGAAACCTGATGTTGGAAGCTTTTTTTTTCACGTTTGCGAACACTTTGCACGAGATCCCCTTATGAAAATTGCCTCATTATTATGATTAATATTATTATTATTATTCTACGAAGCATTTATCGTGGCGTCTGGTTCAAACGAACTTTGAAGGCACGTCACACTAAGATGAATTTAGTTTTATCATCTCAACTGCTGCCTCACGTGGACTTGAAAACGGTGAAAATCACATAACTTCAGTAAAATCATCAATTTTTCTTGCTGAAAATCCAATATATTTTAGAACAAGTCCTATCTGCCTTCAATTAGAAGAAACAAATCAAAACTCGTGTTAATAATAATAATAATCCATCTGAATTATACGTTTATCCAGACATTAATAAATATAAGATATCTTTTCACACTAATAATAATTTTGTATTGGTTGCAGACGTATTCTGAAGGATGAAGGGCCCAAAGCTTTCTTCAAAGGCGGCGCCTGCCGTATGATGGTGATCGCTCCTCTGTTCGGCATCGCCCAGATGGTTTACTTCTTCGGTGTCGGTGAAAAAATTCTAGGCTATAACCAGTAGATCTGGTCCCATTATTTCAGTAGATCTGGGCCTATACTTTCAAAAAAAGTTAAGAGATCGTAAGTTCATCAGCCAATCATTGACGGCCTTTCAAGCAAAATCCACCAATCATAGACAAAAAATAGTGCGTTTGAAACTTAGCCAGTTTTGAAAGTATGGCCCCTGATCATTTATGGTCTTCAGCCTAAGAGGAGTCAGGTTATTTGGCGACTGAAAGTACTTGAAAATACGCTGAGAAAAGTACGTTACCACGCGCAAATCATTATTGCAAAAAAACAAGTGTTCGATTTAGTACCATACATCACGAAGATTTTTGGTATGTTGAGGTGTAACTTTACTTGTTCATTTTTAGTTCCCGGAGTATTCATCTCCTTTATTTTCATAGAAGCACCTTGGGCTACTTAAACTGCCAGATTCCGCAGCCATTTGGTCCATTGTTGAGCTGAAGAAGTGGATGCATTTTTAAATAGTACACTAAACCTTTATTATGATAAAATTATGTGACTCACGATAAGTTCGATAAATCTCACAAAATATGTTTGATAGTATAGCGTGCTTTAGGTCTCAACTTGATCCCGATATTTCTATTTGTGATTATTTTTGAGGAAGCTTGTCAGGCGCAACTGAAGTAAAGTTTTTCACAATTAGGCTCCTAGATGATCATGGCCATAATTGAATTCAATTAAAATTCCCGATGAATTTTCATGGTACAGTTTCTCATCATCCATATGACGACTACATGATGATACAAAGGGCATAATTTTGCATTGATATGAGCATGGCAACAAGTTTTTAATCTCTAGTTTTATTTTTATTTTATTTGTATGGATTATGCCTCGCATTTAAAATGTTAATTCCCTACAATCTATGCCCAACGGGTATCAATTTTACACAGTGTCTCAATTTTACATACGGTGAAGTTTTGCTAATTTGGGAGTGATGGATGGGTATCAGTTTTACACTGCGTCTCAATTTTATTTACGGTGAAGTTTTTTACTAATTTGGAAGTGATGGATATAGTTGAATTTGTTGCGTTTTTTTTGCAAGTTTGCATGGCGGCAATGGAATATTGTCACGGAGCTTTGGCAATGCTTGGGCACGCTTCATTTATCGTTCGCTTGTGGTTGTGGGATACCTGCTGCATCATGTTTGAATTAATAATTATATTAATTCAACCTTGCGCTGCATCCTCAATGCTAAGTTACTGTTGTCGTTCTGAGATATTAAATTAAATGATTATTATCTATGATAGATCATAAATTAAATGTGGATGATTTTTTCTGGGCGAAATAACGGAATAATTATTCAATTTATGTGAAAAAATATTTTCGTCATAAGAACTGGAAGTTGATGTCGAGGAAAGAGGCTATTATTAACATTTAGAGTGCTATGCGTCAAAAAAGATATCTATACTACTGAGTAATTTATTTAAGTCAAACCGTATAATGAAGTTGTTCATGTGGTATATTGATAGTATTTCATGGAATGGTATTGCACAGAATGAATCAGCTGAAGTGGTATTAAAATAGGAAATACTCGTAGTATTGCCATCAATAAGCCAACATCTGGTATTAGCGTCGCCTTCTTAGGTTAGATCTCTCATGTACATTCTTATTAGAAACTATATATATTTTGCTTTAAAGTCTAGATATCAGACTTCATGTAAGCAAAGTCCAGACAATGGAGACTTCATTTAATTCAAGATAATAAAGACTTCATGTAATCAAAGTCTTGATAATAGAGACTTCACGTAATCGAAGTCTTGATAATAGAGACTTCACGTAATCGAAGTCTTGATAATAGGGACTTCATCTAGTTGAAGTCCAAATCCACACTAGATGAAGATTTGTACGCTGCTTTTTGTATCAGATATTCAGATTCAACAACAGCTCCAACATTATACTTATATGTTTTTATACGTTTGACGTACTTTTCAAAATGATAAATATGTGCTACCTAAGTAACATATCATGAATTTTATTGATGTTGATGCATTGATTTTGAATAATTTTTGCCACGTGTATGATACGTACATAGACGTGATATGTTTGACGTACATTTAAAAAATGATAAACATGTGCTACCCAAGTAACATTTCATGAATTTTATTGATTATGTATTGATTTTTAATAATTTTTGCCACGTGTATGATTACATAGACGTGAAAGGTGTACAGCGCAGCCATAACTCTCTTTATCTTTTTCATCTTTTTAACTCTCTTTATCTCTCTCTCATAACTCTCTTTATCTTTTTCATCTTTTTCATCTTTTTCTTTAGTTTCCGTATTTTGGTTTCGTGTTCAACCAAACACTTCATTGCTCACGTGATATTTTTTAGGTCAATTAAAGTGGAATTAAGCTCTATTATCATTGAATGGATCCACTATTTATTCATAGAAAACAGCAATCAGTGTTGAGGGACTGTGTCCGTAGTTAGCATCTGTACTGTTAAAAAAACGGTGAAAAAACGGTCCCACTGGCGTTCTAGTGGCCGGTGGCCCCGTGAAAATGAACCGTTTCGCCGTTTCTATCAGATGTTTTACGGATTTATAGTGTTAAATTTGAATAAAAACGGTGACACGGTGTTTCTTTTCACGTGCCGACCGGCCACTGAAACGCCGGTAATACCGCTTACGGTAATTCCGTCAACGGTAATTTTTCTAACAGTGATGAGTGTTGTCCTAATGGTTGTCGACACGATGCTTCCTCCCAGTGCCATGTAGCTTCATAGGGAACTAACTAACTAATTAATAATATATAAAATTGGTCAGTTTAAGGTTCAGTCAAGTTTGGGGTTTATGTATCACATTTCACTTGCCTGGGTGTCCGCTTCTGTCGTTAACAGCTCATTTCGTCTTGGTTGTTGCTAATTTTTTTAATTTTTTCTATCTTCATATCTTTGATAGGATATCACGGCCGATATTATTATCAATATTATACGATATTATTATTGTATAATATTATTACACGATATTATTATCGTAAACTACTTTACAATAGTCAGCTATTTGGGGGTAGTTAATTCTTTGACTATATTGACGAATAAAGTTTGTTTCACTATGACTTTCTGAGAGAAAGAAAAACTTGAATGCTTTCGCGCTACCAAATTGATTTACAACTTTACTGCAAGCGCAACTTCTACATGATTCCATCCTAATGATTTCTAATGTAGTGAGATTTTTCTTTAAAAAAGTTTATTGAAATATGTGAGTATTTAAAAATGTTCATTATCATACCGGTTTCTTGGACACTGTGTAACTTCCTTGGATCTTAGAACCATTTTATTTTATTTTTTTATTCATATATCATTTGTCATTTATGGAATATCAAATGCGATCTGGTGCCACATTGCTAAATGCATGTACGATCATAATCAAATGCAAGTATTACTTATAATAAATAGAACGTTTTTATGTGAATGTTGCTCGTGTAAACTGCATGTAATTTCTTGGCCAATATTGTCTCAGTAATGTACAATGTTCCAGCTCCTATCTTATCAGTTTATTAAATCTTATATCATTAGTGTACATGAATCGCAAGTTCACCAAGAATTTACTTACGTAGAACATGCCAAGCTAGTTAACTATTTCTTCATTGAAAACATAGTGATTATGAAAGACTGATTATGCTTACGTTTGCAATGAATATTTGGTGAATTTGCTTGGAGTTTCCTTTGCTTTTAGATTATTTAATAAATTTCCTATGTGGGTTCACTGCTAAGATCATACCAACGTCCCAATGATGAACAATAACTAATGTACCGTAATGATACCGATTTGATATAGGTAGATGATGAATGAATGATGATGATATGAATAGGATGATAAATGAATAGGATTCATTATATTTCATGCTCTGAAAATGTCGTGATCGATAATATCGATTAATAATAATTAATTTATTCTGGCACTAACATTATATTGCTGCACTGATTGCGTATAGTCGTGGATGCTCCGGTTGAAATTTTTTATTCTCTAATTTAAAACTTTACCAGCGTATTATTCAAAAAATGATAATTTTTCATGTACTAGTATTTAGGGAAATCAATTCCATGCTTATCTTTGCTATGTAAGAAAGTCTTAGTTCAATTCACTGCATTTATTCTTCTCTATATTTTATTTTAGACTTTACTTCGTTACCTCAATCTATGTTCATATATGTATTCAATAGCAGGCGCTTAGCATTCCAAGAAACGTCTTTAATTTTTATGAAATTATCCTTAATATGATGAGCTGAAACTTCCCCTTGGGTATCTGGAACGGACAATTTTTTCGATCTTTTATGAATTCAGTCACGAAATGAATCGGTTGTAATGATGGATATTGTTTAATCTGAATTTAAATTCACTAAGATTTACCTTGGATCTAAGTAGGGATGCAGTGAGTGATGGTGATTGTACTTAAATAGCATTGGCTTACGAATCGTAAGTCACAATATTGATTCATGAATCGTAAATCAATCTTATACGAATCGCTGATGAATATTGTACGAACCTTTAGTCAATCTATTACGAATGCAAGCAATGACAAAACTAGTTTCATGAACTAACAGCTTACTCTGTAACAATTAATACAATTAATTAATGTGACAATTAATACATGTCAGAGGGATGTAGTACATAGGTTATCAACGACATTTCGATGTGTGTGTAATTATACACGCTTGTAGCCTGATCGATTTTTTTTATGTGTAAATACATCCGAGGTATATTCATATTAGCGGAAAAAATATATCGATGAGGAACATATTATGTGTGGTCACAAAGAACAATTATTTCAAAGTTCAATTTATGTAAATATTGTATCAATGTATTGTTGAACTCAGGGCGCATACTGCCACTTATTTTTTATTATTAAAAAGAGGTCAATAATGCAAATAATGACCATCAACGAAACTGATATTCATTTTGCTGAAGATCTCGATTAAATTTTTTGTTAACCGACCTTCAGCATTTATTCAAACATTTCTTTGGTATATATTGTGTCTAAATTTCATGGCAGGAAGTTTTTTAATGTGAATCGAGAGCTTGCCGTGAAAAAAAACCTTCTTTGGTTC